AGGAGATGAAGGGAAAGAGAGGGAAAGAAAGGAAAAGAGAAAAGACAAAACACAAAAGTAGGAGGGGGGACTCTTTGGGAAAATGGAGGAAACCAGAATGATGGGGAAAGCCAGAGAAGGGTAGATGGTAGGGGTGTGTGTAAACGCACACTGTACAAATGTATGAAAGTATCATAATGAAAGCCAGTATGCTAATGAAACCGAAAATGTTTTTGTCCTTTAAAAATGACTTCTCTCTGCTACTTTGTCACAGTAATAAAAAATAGCACATGTACTACTCCTCTCTTTTAATAAAGTTAACACATAAACAGTCCCACAAGTCAAGCTGCAAAGATGGCAAAGAGCAGACTACGGTTTGCAGCCTCCTGTCTCCATGACCTCACTCTCTTCCATTTCTAGTGTCCCTTGACAAGAACCCCAATGGTGAGGGAAAAGGCATCCTTTTCTCTTCATTTACCTTGGAATGTTAAATGATATACAGACAACTTTGTCATCTAGAGAATATGAAACCTGCAAGAATTATGAAAATACCTCTCTGGGAAATCAGAGTAAACCACTCACCCTGACTTGAGCCTTCCTAAGTCACAACTTCCAACAGAAATATACATTGATAATTTTAATATTTACAAACCTGAGCTTTCCTGCTCACTCATCATCTCTTCCATATCATTTGGATGGTCCTGTGATGCTATAAATCAGGAAAGGGGAAGTTAAAAATGTCTCAAATAAGGCTTGTATATGATACCTAGAGCCAGAAAGCCACAAATCCTGTAATCCACCATGTTCACTCAGAGAACAAACTCGTATGAACTTAATGCCAAATACAAAGATACGTAGTTTCCAACACCAATGCATTTGTAATCCATGCACAAATCGGCAGAGTTTACAGTCTCACGTGGCATATGCAAATTCAACTAGTCAGCAATTCAAAACATACGAGCACAGACCACCAAAGGACAGCACAGGTCAGTCCCATTCTTGCTATAAAGACCACTGCCACAGGAAGCACTGAACATGGGGGTCTTACCAGACTGGATCCAACTGTAACAGTTCCATTGATTACAGACACACAACACTGAGGAATCCGGGCCCTAAAGGCCACTCGATAATACTAAGAGGGGCTTAAACTCAGAAAAGAGTCATTTGTTCTGATCTAGAAGGAAAACTTTTTGAGACAGGCTCCCAGCAAGATGATGGATCCAGATTAAGAATGGACATGCTTTGTAGGGTCTCATGACATGAGGGAAAACATGATAAAGATCTTTCACCAACTTCATAATTTAAGGCCATAAAGCATGCATGTGCATTATTTTTATTTTGTTCATTTTTCTTTCTCTTTCTTTTGTTTTGTTT